GAATTTATATATGAATGAATATTTTTTATATTTTTTTTATCGTGTTAAAATTTTTCATTGCTTTTTTTATTACATTATAATTATTGTAATATTTTAAGATTTTTAGTACTGCACATATGTACAAATGTATATTTGAATTATTATATTTTGAAATTTTATCTTACATTTTTTCTCGTTCGATTTTCTTTCCGCGCTAAAAAAGGAGTCTAAACAAGTACGTATTTGAATTGATAATTTTAAATTGCAAACAACCAAATTAAAAAACATTAATTAAGTATTCAAAATACGTGCTTTTAAGCTTGAGTTAACGTTTGAAATAAATTTACGATTATAAAAAATGATGTTAAGGAAAAATTTGCATTTTTTTGTTCTTTGTGGAATGTAAGAATTTTTTTTTTTTTTGAAATATATTTATGTAAGTATGTTTCTAACGTATGTACATAATTATTATTTATTTTCATTTTAGTCATTTTATTTATTTTATTTTTTTTAAATTTATTTAATGTCATACAACCATAATCCGTCATAACATTCACTCATTCTGTTTACATGGAATTTAGTTTTTTTTTTATACTTAAAGAGATCCTAAATATATTAAAATTAAAAAAACAAAAAAAAAATTGTTGAAAATTTTTTCACTCTTTTATATTTTCAATACAAAAAAAATTATCTTTATTATTTTTAAGGCCTTTTAATAGAAAAAATGTAATTTTATTAACATATTTTTAACTTTTTTGAGTTTTCAATTCAAGAAAAAAATTTGCAAACTGTGTTTAAAGCCTTTTATTCAGAACAAAAAATGTAAGTTTACAATTTTCACAGAAAGAAATATACTTTAGATCATGTATGAGCTTAAAATTTACCAAAAAATAGTTTAAAACTACAAAACAACAATATTCACACGCTTTGTCACAAAAAACCAAATATTTTCTTAAAAAAAAAAAAATTAATTATTCAAAATTTCGGCACTATTTGCATAAAAAAATCGATTAGGGTTGCACAACTAAATAACCGGTTTAATCAAAAAACACACAAGAGAAAAACTTGTCACATAGCAAAACTTCCAAATCGTAGACACATTTTTAAACACCCCTTCACAATTACTTACCACATCCTTGAGGTCGGGCAAAGTGTAGTCAGCGTTTAAGATTTCCAAAGACATTTTAAATTAATTTGTTTTGTGTAAAAAGGCTGTTTGTAATTAAGATACTTGATTTTGAACTAGAAATTTGTGTATTTTGCTCGTAAATTTGCTAAGCGCGCAGTACTTGACTGACTTTACTCCACTCTAGTTCAACAACTATTGAAAAGCATATTTGTCCGTCGCTTTATTTATATGATCACTCGGCGTTATGTTGTCACCACTTTGTTTGGTGCTGATATTTTTTCAAATTAAATATCATAAAACAACAACAAACTCGGGCAAAGAGTATTACATTAATTCTTGAGAATGTGCTGTGAGACGTTTTTCCGATTGAGCAGTCAGTGATATGAGTACTACGGAAGCGCAGCTGTTTTCACTGCCAGTGAGAAATTTCACTAGCTATGTGCGTAGATGTTAGTGATCACTCGCACACATAAAGAAATACTTTTGTAAGCAGTGTGAGTGAGAGATATTTTTCACCTGGTAGCTCAACTTTATTACCTTTGAAACGTTACTGTTTGTCGGATTTTGAAGACTACGAGAGATGTTCTAACAACCTCTTAACTGTTCTCATGACAGTTGGGGATCTAAGTAACCGGAACGGACCAGGATTTTTATCCTACCAAAGATTGTCAACTCGGAAGCAACAACAACAATCCGGATATCCGGTCAAGGAGTACTTTGAAGGGTCGTTTAAACAGGAAGATTGAGACGGCAGGAATTTTAATCTTATAGTGCGATATGGAATGCAATTGATAATTGTCTCGGTTCCGGAATGAGCTATTACGGGAATGTTATGATGATGTTATAATGAGTGGAAGTACCGCTATTTTATACGAAGTGAAGATTTTACTAAAGTATATTATCTAATGATAATATATCCCATTTTCCCATTCCCAGATTCATATCATCTCAAGGACTATCAACTTGCGCCCAAATAGTGAGAGGGAGGATCCTAGTAGCTTTGGACTTTTCACACAATCAACATCACAGCGCCTAGAAAAAATTTAACAATCCTTGCTTTCTTCAGGCCTGAAGAGACATACTATGAATTAAATGAGTTGTCCTCCATATTTTCGTTTCTCTGTTTCGACATAAAAACCCAAAACTAAGAACCAAAGCGAATTTCTGTTTTCGCGTACGATTCTCCATGGAGTCTTTGTCACATGCTTGAAAGTAAGGTTGTAGGAGTACAGACCAGATATTAAAATGGACAAAAAAAAGTTGTTGGCAACATAGGGTCTGTATGCAGATAACGAGGTACCGAACTTTTGTCGTGTATGCAGAAGGCCCCCTAAAAATAAAAAAAATAACACCAGTATCTTTAATAGGAAACAGATCGTTTCCTGGACTTTCCGTTGGATGGAAATTAGCGAACAATCTTTCCTAAATATAAATTTAACAACATATTATTCATCGTTATACCAAAAAGCCTCAACCATAAGTAAAGTAAAGCTGTAATTATCATTTGTTGAGGATTTGCTTCTTTTATCTATTTCTAAGCTAATATTCGTTATGCAAAGTCTGCTATTAATTTTTTTGTTTCTTTATATGAACTTTATGGCGGAGAAGTCAATAAAACAAATCAAAATAAAATGCAATCTGATTCTATTTTAGAAGACATAATTGTTATTATTTCAAAGGTTAAACTTTTATGGGGAAATTGTTACTAATGAAAAATAAACTGCATGTATGAAATTGCTAAACATTTCTTTATCTTTTCATAAATTTTTGTTTGGTTTTGTTTTTAATTTTTATTATTTTGGATATCAGCTGTACTTCGTTCTATTTACTTTGCTCAAATGATTTTTTGTGGTATGAGGAGTGAGTGGTTTATTTATTTTCCCGACAAATAACAAAAAATAACAACTTTTGGGCAAATCAACTGCTTTCTTATTGATTTCTTATTAATTAACAAGAGGCAGCTGTTAGCAGTTTACAACATAAAATAAATATTAATTCACTAATTTGCTGAAGTAACGTGAAAGCCACGTTTACTCCTCCTGTTATTTATTTGGTTCAAATTTGATCCTGCTCAAGCGAATAATGAAATCCAGCAAAAACATTTGTATTTTGATTTCTTTTGCATTATCGGTGACATAAAAGCCAGCCACCCCAGCTTTATGTAAAGTGCTCTGCTGATCACGCACCTACAAAATTACAAGCATATGAAGAACTTGTGTCATTTCACTATATAATCACACACTACCTTCTGATCTAGCAATGCAACTAATTTCATATCAGTTTCACGCATTTTTTTGCTATGTTTCACTTGCATAAGCTGCTCTATGTGACTTAATTCCTCCGGATCGGTAATTTTACTACGCCACTCTTGCATTTCCAGCTCAAAATCTGTCTCAACCTGTTTGCGTAGCGTTAGCAAATGCTTCTCTGTCACATTTTGTATTTCCATCAGTCCTTTGACAATTTCAAAGATTGTATCATTCAGCAGTGAGTTGGCTAGCTCGGTAAGCAGCTCATATGATATACGTATTTGGTAATTTCTAAGGAGTAATTTTGGATTAAGAGTCACTTAAGTTGCAGTTATCTTGTATCTTGCACTTACTCTGGCAGCTGTGCGTGCATTTGCTTTAGCTGATCCACCAGAAAGTATAATKTACGCTGCAGCAACTCCGGCGTAAGTTCTGTGAAGTCTGGGACTTCAGCGCTGCTGCTGGCTACTGTATTACAAGCCGCCAGAGCGCTAGCACTCGTTGAAGGGAGCTCCGTCTCCATATTGTATTATAAAATGGAAGTTTTTGTAACTTTTTTAGGTTTTATTTATAATTTCGTTATTCAGGGCAAATATAATTAACCGGTGATAATTTCGTGATAAATTTTGTTTACACACTTCTTCTTTTGCAGAGTAGAAAAGGTAAATCACAATAGAGCGGTTAAAGCCAATTCACAATGCAGTGTACAGTGTGAGAGAGAGAAGTTTCATGTGAGAAAATGTATAACAGGATTTAACACAGCAATAACAGTAAACATTTTTATCTAATCAAATTTCTAACGTTAAATCAAATGTAAAGTTTTTTATATTGATTTTTAATTCGCACTGAATTTAAAATTTATTTTTCATTATTATTCAACATTGCATTATTGGTCGCGATCTCCTAGATATAATTTTAAAATTTTAAACTCTTTCGCGCTTTCACATGAGTAGGCAAGGCATAAGGCTGCACTCTACTCTGGAAATGTTTCCTTTTCTTTAGCAACTCCGTAGGCAGGGATTGGGTTCCACGTGGTGTTGTCACTTTTGTGGGATTGCGCGGATCACTAGTGTCGTTACTATTTTCTATTTCCCTCGGCCTTTGCTCTGGCTGCTGTATATAGCCACAACTGTTGCTGTGATCACTTGAGGATGCCGAGGTTTTACTTATTTTCAAACACATAAAATAGTTTGTTAACTGTTTTGTTGGAGCACTACGTTCCATTGCACTCATAATTAAATAAGTTTTAGTTATATAAATTTTTTATTTAATATTTTATATGCATATAATAACTGTACAATAACAGCAGCAACACATACACAAGCAGTTGAACTGAACTTTAATATACTTCGATATGTGCATATACCTCACGGTGTAGTTGTTGGCTGACTATTACACACAGTGACATACTTTGCAGTGCCTTATATAGGATTTTTTGTAAAATAAGGTTTTGATTTTTGACCTTAATCTTGAGCTAGTTTCATTTTTACAGCACACTATTATATAAAAATTTCTTAGAATGTTTTTTTTTGTAGTAATTTATTATGCCATAACTAAAAAAATTATAATATTCTCTAGTTTTAATCCACTCCCTCTTATGCTATATATTTTCATACCAGTCATATTATGCCAAGAATATATTGCAGCAGTCGACGAATATTGTAAATAAACTAGGTCGAAAATAGTTTTCAAGGTTAGCCCTTTTCAAAGACAACAGGTTTCGAACAATAGCTGCTGCAAATGAGTACTTTTGGCGCCGAAATTTGGGCCAAGGCTATCTTGATCCTTGTTTTCAGGTAAAAGTGTCAAAAGCTTACCGCGAATCAAACGGTAGTATTTTGTTCTGAAGGCCATATATGTATATGGAGGTAGTTTAGAAACCTTCAGAACTACCTGAGCTAAAAAAGCTTTGTAATATAAAAAACGCACTCTGCTCAATTTATCTCTCGGTTAATGTTTACACAGAAGTGTCTCAAACAAATACAAAAGACAGACGGATTCTTCGGCAACTCTGGTCAGGTATAGAATTCTAAGAGCAAGACTACAATCCAAAAAGTGATCAAAAATCACAAGAAAAATCGTGGAACAGAGAATTGGCCAAGATCAGGCAACAAAGGTAACCACTGCTCACGAGAGAGACTAAAATAATCAGAAAGTTGAAGTCTGTTTTTAGCCCGATTTATTCAGCAGTGCCTTCAACTCAATGTTGCTGAGGTAACAATTCAGTGGATAATCCGAATCCAAAAGAAATAATCATTTTGGTCTTTATATTCATAGAGTAACACATAATTTTGTCGGATATTGTATATATTTCACTTTTCAAGACTAGTGTTAGACCATTTTATGGCGCTACAAATTACTTTAAGTAACCATTTCACCAGCGGATTCAGAAAGGTATGAGTCTTAGTTACTTAACACAGCACATACAACAACCATTACGAAATCGTGGGGAATATAAAACATGTGATTTTGTTATCAGTGCCGCTATTCTCGTCGGCATAACTGATTACACAACACAAAAACAGCTGTTTCGTTAGGTTAAGAATTTTAAAGTATAGCGGGGGGTAGTGGGGAGCGAGCAGCAGCATTTGACTTTTGCTACACTGTGTGTGTGTGAGTATGTGAGCGAGTGAGTGTGGGGAGAGCGCAGCACAGCATGTGAAACTGCATTAAACATTTTCCTACACAACTTTGAGACCCTCAACTGGTGGAGCGCTGTGTCGGCGTATAATGTGGGGTGTTTGGCCGGCATGGCTGTCAGTTGATTTTCATATGTTGAGAAATTAACAACGGTATTGGTTAAGGTGACATACTACATACTACATACTATATGCTCGTGAGATAAATTGAAGAACATTCGAACAACGTAAGACTTATTATATAGCGACAGCGACCAGACAATTCGTGGTAGTGGTGAATTATACAATAAAATAAAATAACTCCAATCAGCAGCCCATTGTCGATGAAATGCACATTGTTTTTCTTTGCCAAACATTAGCGGCTACATAACATTAAACCGAGTTTTCGGCTGAAAAAACAAAAATCACGCATATTATGTAAAGCAGCGGGCTAACAAAGTGCTAAATTGCCGGAAACTAATTGTGTTATACATTTTTGGAAATAGTTTGAAGTTCTGATGAAATCAAAGTAATTCTTTTTCTTTCTACCAAATTGAATGTCGCATGTTACGAAAGTAAAATAAATAAGAAAAACAAATAAAAATTACAAATAAATTGTAAAAATAGCGTAAATATAGATAAAAAGTCCATAAATTAAGCATTATTCTTATTTATTAATAAATAAAGGCGAGTAAGTGCCAATACTGCATTTACTGGACAAAGTGGTCGCAGTTAAGGACAAGCGCGGTCGCTGGCCAGACGAGGCAAGGGCAAAGAATTTGAACACTGCATATAGCTGTCTATATGTATGGGTCTAAGTATAATTGAAAGCATTAAATTGCGAGGCAGTTACGAGTGCAATTTTATGAACGTGATTGTCGAAGCATTGTGTATTTAAATTGGAAATTTGTCGCCAACAAACACGCGCCCTTACGTTGTCCGTTGCTGCAGCGTATCCCCCTAGTCGCGAGTTAAACTGTAAAAGTGCAAGTGAAATTTTTCCAGAGCAGCGCCCTAAGATGTTGACCGTCTCCAAAGGCCCCAGCAAGATTGTGGCCAAAACACGTAGAGGTAGGTAGCTACTAATAACTTATTAGTTAAAATTTTTTTCGCCCAAAAAATCAAAATAAAATAAAACATATTTCCGGTTAGCAGTTCAAGCACCTCCCGTCGTTTCGTATCCTTGAAAATGTCAATAGAAAGGATAATCGTTTGCTATTTGCAAATGTTTTGTGAAATGGAATCGAAAAGTTGTTATGTCACACAAAAATCTCGAGGCATACAAATGCGTTAAGCGCACACCCCGCACACTTGGTTGCGCGCCATGGTCGTAGCACATGTTTAGTGAGCGCTTTTCGTGTGTTGAGTATGTGAGTGCTTTGTTATTGCTCGCTGCTGCTCATTCTGTGGTAGAATATTGTATTTTCTACTCATAATGTTCTCGAAAATACTCTAATATTCTGGCTCCTCAGTTGCTGGCCTCAACACCCTTTCAAGCGCTGTACTCTTTCTTCGTGGTGTTGGGGTGGAGCAGTACATGGGTATTATGTTTGCCGCCGGCCAGCTCCAGCTAGTGCAAGCGTGTTGAGTGCGGTTAGTATGCCAGCTGAAGCAGGCCCCCGAAAACATGTTTGCAATGTCAGTTTGGGGTATAATATCATGTTGTGGCTAGTGGCGATAAGGTTTTTTTTTGTAATAAACTTTAGTATTTTACGTAAGATCGGCTGTTAGAAGATGCTTGTGAACCATTAGTGTACCAAATTTCACGATTTAGGAATACTATTTTAAAGTACTACCAAAAATTCTCTCTTCAGATAATTTTGTTAGTGAATACCATGGCTACGTCGTTACGTAAATCACTCGTCGACAGTATTATTCGTCCGGACTTAGACGTTAATATACACTTATTACTAATATGAGTTTTGGGTTTTCGATCTTTAATTTTGACAAAGTGCTGCTCGAAAGTTAATACAAAAACTGGAAACTATAGTTAAAAAAAATCACGAAAGAAGTTCAAATTATGACAAAGCATTGACGATAGTAGTTCCTAAGCTTGTTCTCTTTTATATTTATCTTTAATAAAATTAGGGGTTGCATACATTAAACTTACTCCTTCAGATCATAGAAGTTGAGAAGCATTTCTACAGTTATGTTCATTTTAATGGCAGAGCGAGTTGGGATATACACACATATTGTATCCTATGCCTCCGCAGTACAACAAGTGGCTACCATAAGAATGTTTCTTTTAGGATAGGTTAGTGTGGTAGGCCAATGAACCACGCATGGACCAGATTAGTCCCTTTGCGATTCAGTTACTAGCTCCATGGGAAGTAGCCATTCTTAACGCGAAATTCAACAGACACTGTGCTCTCACTATCGATACCACTTCTAATATATCATACCAAACCGATGATTACAGCGTAGTCTTGCTAATGCAGTATAAGTGCACAAGAGATACTCCATTGTTTCCCTGGTGCCTTGCTTTAGACACTTATTACAGTTTTCTCGATCTGTGAGCCCCATCCTGCGAGCGTGTGTCGCCACCGGACAGTGATCAGTTAGTACTGCCATCTATAGTCTCTACTATCGAATGCCAATAGGAATTTTGTGCACTTTCGATCTATCGTTTTGCACTTGAATTTTCAGTTTTGCATCCAGGTAGCGCGCTTCATCGAATCTTGATTATATTATATTTAACATGCTTCTGCTCAGATTGTCGCATAGACAATATGGTCCTCAAGTTTTCGGATGTTAGCCGTACACCATTCTTGGCCCACTACTTAATTGAAATCGATGGCTTTGTGACCTGGCACCCAGTAGAAGTGAAGGTTCTTGCTTCTGGCAACACTTTCCACTGCTGTCCAGCTTCCTAAGACACTTCTGGTCGATATGCGATACGAGGTTGCCGTCTTGAATGCTGCATGGCTTTCTACGTACGCACGTGCTGACTCTGGAATTGCCTGCAGGTGCATATTTGTTCTCTAAGTTGAAGCTTGTCCGCCCATAACTTTGCTGGATTTCAATCAATAGCGTTCCGAGTGATTTTGTCAAGATCTAGTCTCAGAACATGTTCGAGGCTAGCCCATTTTCTTCCAATTTGGAGAGATGCTTGGTTTGTGCGTGACCATAACTCCTCTTGAGACACCTTGACCTCGGCTAGAAAATGCGGCAAATATTGCAAAAGCCCTGTGTACCAGTATTATTAGAAAACAAGTTGTACTTTTTCTAGAAAATCTACCATTTTTTCGCACTTCCAAATGACCACTGCTATTTTTCTGCACATAACTGTACATGCTATATATAGAATACAATAAAAATAATTGAAAATTTATTTTTGAGTTTCAGTAGCACACGTTACCCCTTTATTTTTGTTTGTTGACTAAATTGTACTCAAAAATTACATAATCAAAATCTTAGATGCTTGAACTTTGATCAAAAACTGTTGTCCACTCATAAATCAAGACGCCCTCACCAACATATATAGATAACATTTTGCACTACTGTGTAGTGACTACACCCCCGAACCCAACCGAGTAAAAGAGCGTAAGCATAGCGGAGAGCGGAAACAATTTTTGGTGAAATGCGAGTACCTTTTGGTGGGCTGGTACGCAATGTGTTGTTGTTATACTTGTTTCCGTGTGTTTGTGCATTTTATGAATTTCTACTGTTTGCCGGTTTTATAGTTGAAGAGCATAAACGACAAAAACAATAGCAATGGCGAAAGCGTCAACAACACCAACAACAATCCAACTAAATCGGCCAATTAATTTGATTTTTGTTTTGAAAATATTTGTTGTGTTGTGTTGTAGCGCGTATGGCGCTAAGAAAGCCAGCGGCTAATCTACTTGCATGTACGCATACACATACATATAACTACATGGACACACACCCTCTGCTGGGAACTAGTTTAGCTTCAAGTGGTTAATAAAACTTGTTGTTGAATTTATTTACGGTTTATGCAAATGTTTTTGTTTTCATTATTTTACTTTCGTGTTTTTTGTGCATATTAATTGCTTATTTTTCTTATCACACAGGTGTTCCGCAAAATTATGAGAAATTATTTGAAATCAAAGAGAGCGGCCGCAGATCCTCTGACCTTAATAGTCCGGAGAATAAAAGGTGAGCAAGAAGAATTGATAAGCATTGACAAATACATGCTTAGATACATATGTATGTATGTTTATTGTATAAATGTAAGAAATGTGTACGAATATATGTGTATTTATATTGCAAGTATATGCTTATTTATATTTCTATATATTATTAGAGCGGGTCGATTGAGAAGATCGAAAAGTTTGAGTTTAAAAAATCTGAACAATCGGCTATATGGGAAATATGCAATATCTTCCGAGCATTTCCGACAAATAATCAATAGAATATCATAATGCCCCTACGCATTAAATTTCACACGGATATCTTACAAACTGACAAAAACAAAGTTTTATGATTCCTAAAAAACTTTGCCTCAACAATCACAGTCTCGAAACGGCCTTTAGAATCATAGTCCCTCAGGCAAAGTTGCTCAGAATGTTACATAGAACATTTCCTTCCTACGCGATTTTATTAAAAAAAAAAAAAAAATTGGCCCGCTCTAATGCACATACATTTTGAGATATTTATTTATTCAAATATATTATATTAATTTGTGACTTATTTTGAAAACAGTTGTGAAATTCAAGTGTCCATTTGGCATTGATTTGAATTTGAAATGAACTTGTTTGCTGCTGCGCTCTGTTGACTTGTTTTGCTACATAGTATTTATCTTCGACGCTAGATCTTCGGTATTTTGAACTTCGTATACACTTATGTATATACGTACTTGTATTCCAAATATATTTTTCAAAATCGCTTGCACACATATATACACTTATATATGTAAATACAGCTGCTTTCATGAAAATAGTAGCGCTGATTGACTTGGCAGGTCCGTATATGTACATACATATGTTAAGAAAGATCTCTACAAATTTTTGTATTTGTATCACCCAAAAAATCTAAATTGAGTTTTTTCAGCTTCAGTTGTCAGATATGACCATTTTATAACCAAATCTCAAATTTTGTTTGAATATGAGTGGTTCCATTATATCGTCTTTCTCTCGCCTATAAACGTTTGAAAAAAATGTGTACTGATCTTACGTTATTTTGCATTTTAGGTGACGATATGTATGTTCCAATTTATACAAGTTCTTGTTGTAAAATTTCCATTTTTAATTGCCATAGTTGTTTGAAACTTTTTATTGGCATTGCGCCTTTTTCTTGACGCTTATCGCTTTTACGTATTTTGACGTTTAGTGCATTGGTCAGTTACGCCTTGTCATGACCAGCGATTGGCATGACCTCAATCAAATGAGTATCACAAAATGCCGTTGTGTTAGTGAGCTGACTGTGGGCCAAAGCGCAATGGCGTTCAAACATAACACTGGTTTACAGTCATTTTCGAACTGTGTTGTTAGGGAATGTTTCTTGCTAATTTTGGGTGCTAAAGTCGCACATGAAAGGCATATCAGTCTCCAATTTTCCCCTCAGATTTGTTGCGTAGTGTAATCAGTCTGCATGCAGAAGCTTCATTTGTTCGTATTAGTCCCAATCAATGTTTGTGTGTGTATCTAGTATATGATAACTTGCGCTTTTTTAGCGCTTGCCAAGTAACTTTCCATCCCTGATTATCACCCTTTCGTGCCGCTCAAAATCCAATGTAAAAGAAAGCAATTAATTATTTGTGACGCCTTTCAAAATCATCAATTTGTGATAATAAAATCACAAAGTCCAAATTTGCAAAAATATATATTTATGTATAAATATATAGGTATTTATATATACATATGTACTACTAATACATATGTATGTATTTTGAGAGTTTGCTTCCGCTTCGAGTCATAGGCTTCATGCACGGTGGAGTGAGGTTAATGGGTGGCGAGTGCAAAGATTGCTTGCATAAAAACGTAATTGATTATTCTGCCACAAATAAAAAATGTTTCATGAGTTATAAGTCACTGTCAAAATATAATCAATGAAGTGGGAAGGAAGTCCTCCAATTCTTTTATTWCATGGTATCTTAATTTTTTTTTGACATTGAAAAACCAAATATATCAAAGCTTCAATCTTTAATTATATAAACTAGCACTGCACTGGTAGGCATGCGGGGTTTGGTTAACTCTTACCAGATTCAGGATACTAGAATATTTGATTCAGTGTATATATGTATGTACGTATATGGCTTCGGAAGCCCTTTGATTACAGCTAGACTAGGGTGGTAATAGGAGTATTTCGGGGTAACTAATAATTAATATCTAACCAGATATCGTTCGTGGTAGATTTGAGTTCTGCTAGTTTATCAAGCAACATATAAGTACATGTGAAAAATAATAGCAGTAGACTACAGTATCTATAAGAGCGTTTAATAAAGTATATAACACTCTCCGTTGAAATTTGTTGCAACTTACTTCAAGTTTTAGTATTTATACCAGTCTCCTATATTTATACCAGTTGTTTGTTCGATTCGCTACTCTCATAAGTTTGGCGAATCGAAGCTTTTATATAATAGTTTCTAAGTTTTATATTAGTTTTCTGCATATATACTAGTCTCCTATATTTATACCAGTTGTTTGTTCGATTCGGTACTCTCATAAGTTTGGCGAATTGAAGCGATTATATAATATTTATACTAGTCTCCATTTATACCAGTTCCGTATATTTATACCAGTTATTTGTTCGATTTGCTACTTTCTAAAATTTAGCGAATCGAAGCGATTACATCACTTTCTAGTATTTACTTAGTCTTCTGTATTTATACCAGTTATTTTTTCGATTCGCTACTCTCTAAAATTTGGCGAATTGAATTTGTTTTTTCCGACAGCTATCTCATGGAAGACTTTTTCGTATTTTACGTTAAATGCTATTTTTTGAAGGCTTATTTTGATCATAATTAACCTTTATGTTGTTTTTCTTTGTAATATCAAAAACGTATGCGTTGATGAAGAGGTTTATCATTTGGAAATATTAAGCGATCATGAATATTTTTTCAATTAGGAAACTCTGCCCGATATCATTCTTTAATTCTTGGATAGTATTGCGTTGCGCTAGGATCATATACGGAAATATTTAGGCGTATAAATAGTGTGACTTTGTGCTTATATATAATGTACAATCATAACAGGATTTATAGCAAGTCATAAATTTATAGTCAGTCTCATTTCCGCTACTTTTTATGCCAATCATGCAAATATTTCCGATTATCATTCATATAGACCAGGGTACAGATAATACACCTACCGGCTATTTATAAAAATTCTGTTTGAATTATGTACTAATTGCTGAGTTATGGACTAATTTACGATAGCACTTAAAAACTTGCACCGGGTGCATATTTGAAGAGCAAACATGCAAATTTTGGAGAAATTCGAACCAATTTTACACCGAAGTGAGCGAAGTGTATACTCAAACACTTAACATGCTATGAAAAAAATCGTATACAAATTAGTAAGTAGTAATATAAATAAATTTGAATGATAATTACAACAAAGCATACACTTACAACAACATATATGCGCATTGCTATATACTCATTCATACATACAAGTATGTATATGTATGTCTAATATGCAATCGCCGTTGGAGCAGGAAGCCAAACTTGCTAATTGTTAACTCAAACTCAACTAATCGTAGGCAAGCAACTATATATTTATTTGCATATGTATATGCATCTATTTACACATATGTATATGGATATGTCTACAAATTGGAGCAACAACGAAAATGCGCGCCCGGCAGTGCTCCTTTGCGTAGACGCAACACGTGGACATGACCAAAGCGAAAGAGTCAATATTTATTCATTCACTTTAAATAATGCTCACATGCCTGCCGTTGGTGATGCCTTCGCGTTGATTAAAAACATAAATACATACCTAAGTACCCACAGCACTACTGTGGATATATTTTAAGGCAAGCGCATAGCCAAATCTACTATAGCTGACTACAAGTGAGCATACATGTGTAGTGTGGTGTACGCATATGTATCTCTATGTTCTATTTAAGTGTTTGCGTCATTCCGACAACGTGGTCTTCAGCGTTGGGGGGCCTGTCTTGCGTGGCCGCATGAAAAATTTCTTTATGTGTGATAAGGTTGATATTAGAGGCGATAAGGCATGGCCAAACACATTTTTAAATGAATTTATGTCTTTTCATACTATCAATGAATGCCCAGCAGGAAATTCAAAGCGTTTATAAATGAATGTAAAAAAATTTTATCTCAACTAGTTTAAAAGTCATATCATCTTTAAGAAAAACATGTTTTTTTTCATATGAGAAGCTTTGACTGCTTATCAATTCCTTTTAAAAATAAGCTGAAACAATCTGCGATGCAGGACGAGCTCCTCTGTATATTTTTTACGCCTTAAATAGGGTGTATTAATCTTTCAGTTTTAGAGATATCGGTCTGAATTTTTGCACACTTGCTTTTCTCCCCAAAAAGTTTTTCCACTTGTCGAAAATGCCAATATCGAACCACTATAGCAAATAGCTGTCATACAAACCGAACGACGTTAATTAAGTGCTTCTGTGGAAAAATATTGCATGTGATGAGATATGTTCAGGAAATTTGGCATGTGCAAATCAATAATGCAATTTCCAAAAAAGTTGTGCAGATTGAATCACTATAGCATATACATAGCCGGCCTATAAACTAAACGATCATTTGGCGAGATATCTGCACGGTACAAGCGAAGCTAACGTTTTATCTTGTTATAAATTCGTTAATAATTTTTTGGGATCACCCTAAAGTGCATACATAATCAAATTCGTTAATAATAATGTTTTGGGATCACAATAATAATGCTTATATAATCAAATTCGTTAATAATTTTTTGGGATCACCCTAATAATCATATACATATGCATATAATAAATTGCTTCTACTTATATATTCTCATCCATATTCACTTGTTTGCTGCAGTCAACGGCTTCTAACTTCATGACAGGGGTCAATTTTGGGGCTATCGTGATTGCCTTGTGTCTACTAGCAGAGCTCATTACTTTATTTGTACAAATTTACTGTTATCTATGCATGACTTTCACGGGTTTCCACTGTCTAGTCGATCAGTCAGTCGAGTATGACATTTCAGTTTGAAATAGAATTATATTTAAGTATATATGTATATATACATATGTCAATATATGTACATACAAATATGTAAGTCATAATGTTTGAAATATTTTGTTTTACTTTAGAACAAGCTCAGTACTGTTGACAGGTTATAGGTGTTTTCTTACCCAGGCATTAATAATATTGCTTAATCACTTTGCCATATTTTATGGATTATCAAACATATTTTTATGGAAATTTTTAAATACTTGCCTTAAGCACTGATAACAGTCGCCAAATCGTTGCTAAGACACTTTAACTAATGTCCGGCCTTAAACGCACAAATGCTTGTACATATGCATGTAAGTATATACATACATACATATGTACATTTGTAGCATACTTTAAGGATTTTCACTTTCAATTAAGAAGAAGTATAATGCTATAATATATTAAATATTTTTTTTTATGAAATAAAGTGTTGAAAGTCCGCGCTACAATTTTTTAGTCTTATCTTGAAGTATAAGTAGCTTAAATATTTAAAATCGGCTGGTATTTTTCCCTTAAAATACAGTTAAGTATCAAAAAAATTTTTCTTTAAACAAAAGGTATTAAAAAGGCAGGAATTTTTTTTAAATTTTTCAATACATAAGCATATTCTTCATATTAACACGTACTCACAAGAATTTTTGCTATCTACCTATAGCACTTTCACTTAGTTGTAGGCGGGTCTGATTTGCAAAAATCCTCAAGTGAAATAAATCACTAAATTTTTCTCAAGCAAATTTAACATACGTAAACAGTTGTATATATAGTATATGTATGTACAAGCATTAAAAAATATTTTTTTATATAGATACGAACACACAAAAAAGACAAAAATTAACTAAAAAAGTCGAAAGTGAAAGCGGTGCACAGGGGATCTAATCTACAAGTGTATCGTGACACTTAGGCACATGAATCATAATTTCATAATTTCGAAAATATCAAATAAAATTAAATTCAATATCTTTTCACTTTTGCGGAAAAATTCAAATATGTTATTAAATCATTTTGATATCAAAAATAATTGCACAACAGTAGCATTAGTTAGCGAATTTCCGGAAAACATTATTTTCGAAAATTATATTATATGTCAGATTATGATTTTGTTATCTAATTTGCTTATTATTTTTAAAATAGATTGCAAATAAAACATCTACAAAAAAATGACACGAAATAAAAATATTAATTTTAATAATGCAAAATACGAGTCAGACCTAGACTGACTTACTGCCTTAAATTATTATTCGCCAGCGTAATGTAAGCGAAATGCATATATATTTATTCAACTGCAAGCGTTGAAAAATGCGAAAAACCAATACTAAGCTATTGCTAGCTTATAAATCACAGCTACAACAACAATTAAATAGCTTGAAGTGGCAACAAAAGACGAATTGGAGAAAAGATTATGAAAATAAAGAAAAATATTTGAGAAAAAGAAAACTAAAAAACAAAAATTTACAAAAATATAATTTAAATAATTTAGCATAAATTAATTAGCACGAAATGTTACTCAGCGCAAAGGCATGACATAGCAGCAAACAAGTTTATCAGCTTTTATAGCCCAACAACCTTTCATAATAAAATATAAACAAATATAGTCAATTTGGGCCTATAACCTGTTGTTTGCGGTTTGATTAGTAACCGTTAGTTTACTTTTTTCATATATATGTGAAATATAATATAATATGTTTGGTAAAAAACTGCAAAAGTCAAAATTTAATTTTTTTATACTTTTCAAAATAGGAAAATACAAAATTTCATTTTTCATACTTTCTGATTTATTTATTTTTTATATTTTTTTATTTATTATTATTTTTTTTATAAATTTTATGTAAGTTTAAATTAAATTTATTTTTTGCTTTATTTATTTCATATTATTATTATTTTTCTGTTAAAGCGCTATTAAAAAATAATTTAATTCTTTTATTTTTTTCAGTGCACCACGTCCTGTCTTCAAAAAATCTGCCTCGAATGGTCGACACATAGAAGAGGTCTCATTAACACCACAGCATGAGGAGATCGTGCAATACATCAATGACTGTAAGTGTCAAAAACATTATACTTAAGGCAGACTAAAATAGTAATAAGTGAATTTTGAGCACTACTGAGACATGTGTTGCCAAGTGGCTGCGGCGAGAAATAGAGCAGAAGAAAAACACTTACGAAAGTATTATTTTACAAATTATTTTTAGATCAGTGATCAGTAGAGATCAGTAGAGATCAGAGAAATATATCACAAAATGTGAAAATTCGAGATTTGAATTTTTTTTAAATATAAGGACCAGATTAACCTAGTATCTAATAATAATCCAATATCTAACTGTTACAAATTTCCATTTCCGGCTCTCATCCACAGCGTGGAACGTCATTGTGGCGCATAATCCTTACGACTCCGCGTTCGAAAGCAATGACCATCCGCAACAACCTACGGACTCCAACAACAACTCCGGTAAATACGCAATATAAAATTTTCGAACAAAAAAATTCGCCTAACCGCACTTTTATTTTTGCAAACTTATAGCGGGTTCTTCCATCGCATCCACCTCAACGTCATCGGCCGCCTCATCGGTGTGCACCTCACCGCAACCGACCGCATCGATCTATTGCATCGAACCGCCGAGCCCAGTGTTGAGCGATTTCAAACCCTTCGATTTGGTGACTTGGTGGTATGATCGCCTCTGTGATGTCAAGAGCACGTGAAATGTGACGACGAACTAAAGCTAGCGAGAGAGAGTGAGTGAGCGCGTGAGTGTGGGCGTTCGTATGTGTGTGTGTATGTGGGTGAGAATGTGACGTAAATGTACAACGAGTGCTATTGTGTAAAACGAAAACAAGCTTAGACACATAAATACAAATAATTTACAACCAAAAAAGTGGCAGCAAACGAAATTTTGTGCATAAAACACACAAACCACAAACAATTTAAGTAAATCATAAACAATTGTGAACTGTCATCACCTGCGTCAGACAATGGTCGTCGTCGGCGCCGAAGTGCAGTGTAATTAACATACATACTCACGTAAATAGAAATGCATATAGAAATGCAGGCAATACATAGACACTAACATATATGTATGTGTAAATTAATTACTTTTTAATTAAGTTTTACGTTTTCTGTTTGCTCGTTTTTTTAATTAGCTGTTACAGTACTAAAGTAATAAATATTGCATAATAAATATATTTAAATTGTTATAATAATTTAGAAACTCAACAAATTACAATCCTAATAGTTATAGTATATGTACATAATATATATATAAATATATATTAGTTAACGAAAATATGAAAACAATTTAAAATTAATTTCAATAGGCACTTTTATTATCAAGCACTGTAGTTACGCTCAAGCGAATAGCTGTGAAGAACTCGAGACGTATGATACATATATAAGAAATTTCACTGACGAAAAAATTATATATTGTAGCAAAATTTAAATTTAAAGTCAGTAAAAAAGTTATATGATATTAATAATGCGAAAGATGCGCTAAACGCAGACAAGTAACGCAAAAAATACTATATTTTACTTATTTTTATCCTAATTAAAAAAACTCAGTAGTAAGAAAACTCACCACGAAAAAATTCACCAAAAAATTCACCACAAAAATAAAAATTTACCACGAATGAAAACTTAGCACAAAAGAAATTTAGCACGAAAGCAATTTCACCATAAAATAAATTCACCACGAATGCAAATTCACCAACAATTATGAACAAAATATTATAAAATGAAAATATACTTTTCTACTTATTCCGCTATATTCTATTGAAATGAAGAATGAAGAATGAAGAAATCACATTTATACAGTCAAAAGAAATCTTACACTGTGAGAAGAAGTATAGCACTAAATACATTTTTTAAATCAAGCAGAAATCCCATTTTACCATTAAAAAAATGAATATGAAATAAAACATAGCGTATATTTGTTAAAACTATTGGACTGACATTAATGCGACGACACTTTGAAATACAGTGTAGGTATATAGAGTGCCAGCCAAAAATTGTTAGCCACTGCTTAAGCATCCTGTAGAATACGAAGTTTAACCTACACTCTTTTGCTATAATATGTTATGGCAATATTACAGTTAATGACAGCTGTTGTGTAGACATTTTGAAGGCCAATGTATTACAAGGGAAATGTTAAATTTGTTGTTATGAAGCCAACAAACTGTTTTAAGGAAATGTTAAAGAAAATGCATGTATGTATGTATTTGTACAGAGCTATTGTTGAGGGTAATGTGTATTTTATATAAAAATATCAAAAATAAGAGCACGGAAACTGCAACTATAAACTCCAACCATACAAATATAAAAAAAAATCTAATATTTTTTAAGTTAAAAAATCGTCGAAAGGATGAATACGAAAAAATTTTAACATAAATTTTTAAGTTAAAAAAGTTCTTGGAAAGGATGAATATTCATTTATTTTAACAAACATTTTCAAAAATTATATTATATATTATGGTCAATTGGTTGTTATCGACTCAAATAATTCTCTTTAGTAGTTCTTGTAGTAGTAGTTTAAAAAATGTGGACACAAAGTAATTTTTTTTAATATTTGAAACTCAGCATTAAAAATATGCGTGTATTTATGTAAGTATTTGTATAAAAATGGCGTAATAGAAATTTTTCAAAAGTTAAAAGTTTAAAATTTTTCATCCAATAGGCGTATCATTTTTTAATTTTCAAAAAATAAAAGTTTATTAAGTAAAATGCAAAACTGTGCATTGAATTGACGCTTAATTAATTCTGTATTTTCGGAAAATCAGAGTTTAGTTTTTGGAAAACGCATACAAATTTTGATTCATCCAGTCGACGTATAATACCTTTTGCTGGAAATAGTTTTAGAAAATTATATTTTAACTTTCAAGACTAAAAAAACGCAGCTATAAAGTTTTCCATCCAATCGACGTATAGTTGTGAACCCATATTTTGAAAGCAAAATATGCATGAATATACATTTATGCACACTACCCAAAAAATTAACTAAAAATTGCCCAAAAAGAAAACCGAAAAATTATCCCAAAAATTACTCAAAACAAAAAAAAAAACAAAAAAAATTTAAAAAAATTACGTAAAAAAACCAAACAAAACCGGAAGTACTAAAATGAACTTGCCTTAATTTTTTTTTTTTTTTAATTTTCTTTAATTAATTTACATGTTGAATTGTCAAGCTTTGCTTGTTTGAACAGACAATAATATTAGTAGGCAATAAATAAGGCGGTGGAGAAAAGTTGAAGAACACAAATATTATTTAAATATATTAATACAATTTAAGAAAATTAGTAAAAAGAAATCAAATGACGAATGCATTTTACGTGGGAAAGCGTTGGTAGCGAATGACGCAGTAAACCTAGAGAATTTACGCTAGAAAAGTAACAAATTACATATTTAATAAAGAAAGCAATTAATACCATTTTGAACTGATATGATAATTATGTATAAGTCACAAAAGTCAACGTTCAAAATTACGCTAAAAAGCTAAATTACGAAAACACATCTAAAGGACGTATGAAAGTTAATTTAGACCACGATTTAGATATCTCTATGTCTTTAAAACTCTGCGTTAATAATAAATACATGTGCACTTATAGGAGAATTTGAAATGATGTAAATAAAGTAAAGTATAATAACTAAAAAAAATTATTTTTTTGTAAAAGTAATGAATTTATAAATGACTGCAATATTTCGTGAGTTTTATTATATACGGAGCAGACAAGCTACATATATAAATTTACAGTAAACTAGTTGATAACCAGCAATAAAAAAGAAAACTAAGTAAAAAATATGAAAATAAAATAAATTTTAGCTTTATGAATATGATGAAATAATAATAAATATTGATGAAATAGGTAAATTATGTATAATGAAAAATTAATAAGACGTTAAAATGTGAAAAATATGAACAATTTACTGTTACAAATTGGTTGTAAATTTTCGGGACTCACGGCAGCTATTACAAGAGAGAAGCGAAAGAAAAGTGACAATTTTCTGCGTATTTAAAACATGTATCTAAAGAATGTATACTAAATTTTGGATTAATTATTTGGGTGAATGTGAAAAAAATTTAAAAAAATCTTTGAACGTACAAAAATTATCATTTTTTTCATATGCTTCCAATATCTTCGAAAGAATGAACTAGCTCGTTATACAAAAGCGGCAAGAAAAATGAGTACAATTTCATCGAAAATACGAAAAATTAGAAATGAGCGTTTGTTAAACGTTATATTTCATTTCTAAGCATAACTAAGCATACATTTTTTGTACCTCTCAAATTTCATCGAAAGTCATTGTCTGCAAAAAATTTAACAAGCTGGTCTATGTTTCAACGTTAGCTTTAGTTTTTATACGCCAATAAATATTCATCGAAGCGATGAACTCTTTTAATATACGTAAACTATACAAAAATATTGAAATTTAGCAGTGAAAGAATTGAGAATATAACATTTAAAAGCAACTTTAATGCCTGCATCTTTAACTTATTTGTTAGAGAAGCTGCTTGAAAGCATAATTTATAAAATTCATTAATTTTTCTGCATCAAAATAGTATAAGAAACAAAAAGTTAGTGCAAATTGACGAAAACATGCTTCCAATTAAATATGTTTTGGCTTGAAAGAGTACCTACGGATACGAATAACCAGTGAAACTAGCAATAACCTTTATATAAGCAAATAACTTAAGGTATTTACAGCTGCACAATTGAGACAATTGAACACTTTTACTATATGTTGCAAGAACAAGTGGCATGTTGCATAAAATATTAATTACTGAAGCAAACAAATACATAAATTTGTTGAGTGGTCTTAATACAATTTATATGACTGTAACAGATGACGAAAACGTACACAAAGCAAATGTAAAAAAAAATATATAGAAAAAAATAAAAAATAAAATACGAATAAAAAATAAATAAAATAGAAACCAAAATAAAAATATTTTGAGCAAAAATACAAATTGTAAACGAAAGCAGCTGCAAGAAAAAATAACTGAAAGTGTCATTGATGCAAGAACTAGTAGCAAGTGCATTACGTCTTAAGAAAAAAAATATAAAAAACAGTTCCAAAATTGAACAATTATTGTTGTTTCTTTTTAATAAAAAATTTCTTTACCTGTATGTAAGTATGTAAAAAATATATTTATTTTGTCTTCATACGAACAACATATATGCTGCATAAAGTGCATTTATAAGCGCGTAGTAAGTATAAATTCATATAAAATATATATTTTTTCTTCACAAGTTTTTTTCCAATATTGGACAAACTCAGTTCGTATATAGTATAACTGCTAACTCTTAAACGTGAAATTCATTGCTGACTTTCGTTGTTTTCACGTACAATATTATTGTGCTGTTGTACCCTCCGGCAGAGACGCAAGGACTTTACAAATAACTCTAAATTTTGTTTAAACTCTCTTATACAGTCCGTTTCCTTAGTTTCCGTGTCGTTGTTGTTGCTATTGTTATTGTCATCATATAAGTTTTTCATATTTTGATTGGCATATAATGTGATCGTCTCTTCATCCAAACAATCGATTAATTGTTGCGCATTCACGATACATTCGCCGGCATTGTTGAGCGCATCGCGGAGACGTTGGATCTGGGTGCAGGTGAGACGTGGAGAATTATTGAAATTCGTGCAAGAAGTGAGGTGTAGTTAAACATTTTTAATTTTACTGTGAATGAATACGGCAAATACACTGATTATAGGGCCGCAGTTTCGGCGAAAATTTATACCCAGCGAGCATTATTTTGAGATCTGAGAACTAAAAATAGTCGCTGGAACTCTTTGATATTTTTTAAACAAATTATTTTATATCGATCGATGAGATGCCAGAAAATCAGAGAACATATTCGCTACTTTTATCTGGTATGACAGAGTACATGTCTCACCTCAGATCACATCAAGATCCCTAACTAATTAAAAGTAAGTCTCACCTCTAAATTCTTTCTTGCCTGAAATTGCAGATACTTGAAACATACTTCTTCGAAACGTTTCTGTGATATGAGATATTCATCTAAAAGATTGTCGTAACGCGCTTTTGCGGTTTCTGTTTCACAACGACTCAATTGCAGCATCTTTTCTTTTTTTATGAGCTGTCGACGGCATTTCTTGTATGAAATGGAAAGTTCATCATATCTGAAAATAAATACAATTGAATTCTCACTTGCTACTAACTAATCCG